TGTGGTACGATAAAGATCCCTCCCTGCTCAAAGGCCATAAGTGCCGAGCATAGGCTTAAATTTGCAGCCCTTTACCGGCAATGGTGACGTCTCCATATCAGTGAAATATTCTGGAGAGGGACATTAAACAGTATACAATCAATCAATCAATCACTTTAAAATAAAGTTGTAACATAATTAAAAGGAATTAATATAATACCGAGTATATACTTGTTCTATACGCACATATATAAATTATTTCTAATGATCTAAAGAAATAAATATGACTATTCCTGCTTCATTTTTATTCCTAGTAATTAGATATGTACATTGTTTTTTTATTTTCAAAAATTTGCTTCAGAGAAATATCAGTAAACAAAATATCGTTTAAACATTTGCTTCAGAAGAGAAATATCAGTAAACAAAATAGATACGAAAATCAGCAGAAGAAACACAAAATCAATACAATAACTTCCGAGCACTTTCTCGTAACAGAAAGCATTCTTTTCACAGACAAGTACTTATGTTTTCAATAATCCTTTCAGTGTATTAAGTAATTATTTTAATATGTTTTTCTTTATTTTATTAAGTTATTCTATTCCTGTAAAGTCTGTAAAAACGATGTGAATGAGAGAGAGAGAGAGAGAGAGAGAGAAAAGGGGGATAGAGAGATCCAACCCCTTAATACATTATCTGTAAAAAAAAAAATGATTTGTATTCATTCTCCTTCTTCATCTTATTTACATCGCCAAAGTCACAATTAATCAGTCTATGATGCTTTTTAATCAACCCATTTACAACTACTATGCAATGAATAATCCGTTCTCTGTACATGCATGCTGCACGCATGAAATCCTTGTGCATCACCTGTCAATCAAAATGGCATGACGCTAAGAGACCCTGAAAGTCTGTTTACGTAGGAAGAATTTCTCCTGTGATTTGAAATATTCTTATGGTCAGTTCATAGTTCACACCTATTTAAAAAAATATATTGGGTCACAGCCGGAGGGATGGGGGCGCCGTGTGTTTAACACACCTTTCAAATTATTTAGTTCTGACCACATCAAGTGTTTTTAATCACTCAACTGACATCCAGCAAACTCATCTTCCAGGTTTCACCACAACACTGATTACAAATTTACTTCCTAAATTATCCTTTTTCAGACAAAAATAAATAAGCATGTATCCCTAAATTATAATTTTCTTTTTTTACAAAAGCACAATTTAAAGTCACATAAATTCACATAAGTATCGCCTTCTAGAGGTGGGTGGGGGGGGGGGGGGGGGTAACAAACATAATATGGCTTGAAAGAGGATTGATATTTTTTTTTAATTTCATTTTATATAGTAAATTATCTTTTTACAGACACTAATAAGGATGTTTCCTGTAGATCATGATTTAATTTTTCATTTACAACAATGTACCATTTTGCAGACTTCTAAAGAACTATTAACCAGCTAATCCGTATTGCTTTCTAGAAAGGGGATGGGGGTACAGTGTAACAAACCTTATAATATCTTTATTTTTTCACAAACTGTTTTTTTTTCATTTTTCATAAGATGTATTTCAGAATGAAGTAATATATACTGCAGTTTGCACATTTTTTCTGCAAGAAATTCGGCTGGCGATTTTTGTATGCAGCATGAAAGTTGATCAGTTTTATTAGTAAGATTATCATCTCTGTCTGTTCAGTAGAATCTTCATGTTTACCGCATGTAATATTTTAATCCATATTTTACATGATATTACAGATTTTCAGTGTAAGTATAACTAGTGTTGTATAATCGGAAAAAATCTGAAACCGATTATCGGTTAATAATCAGAGTCTGATTTTAGTGATTAATCGAATTAATCGGTTTCCATATTTATTTTGAAACATATGTGAAATAAAGGATATATGACTCTATAAAATGTTTATTTTTATTTTTTTACTATATAATTATAAAGAAAATGAAAGACTTCAAATATGCCGACATCAATGTAACTAACAACTTATTAAGTAAACATGAAATTTGGCAATTATAATAACAACTAGTAACTAGTACTAACTACTTGTAACTAACAAAATACATAACAACCTGGTGAAAAAATGTGGCGTGTATAACGTTTTCCCAAACTTCTTACCAAGGACGACAGAGCGTAAAGTCGATGTAGTACCTATATTGGGTATTTCAGCAGAGTTTGCAAACGGCTCGACATGTCAGGGCTGTCGCAGTACCTTTTGGGAAAAATCCTCGACATTTTTGTCAAATTGGGAAAATTTTAAACATACTTTCATGTATTCACACCCCCCTCCAAGCAAAATATTTAATCATGAAAGCCATTTATCACTTTGAAAAGTATACTTGAAAAGCCAAAATTTACAGGACATAAGTCATAAGGTATGATAAAATCTATATTTAACAGATCAAACATTTACTTACTAGGCAGGCATTTTTTTTTTTAATTTTCATATAATACAGAGACTGAAAAATGTGGGTGGGGGTATTTCTTACTGTTTAATTGCATCTTAAATAAATCAAAAATTTAGATTATAAAGAATAATTCTATTGAAATTATTAAGTTACTATTTAAAATTTTCCTTTTAATGGTAATATAAAATTGCCTAGATCTACAATTTATTTCTTTTTTTTCTGGACATTTAACACATGCAAATGAAATAGATAGTATCCAAGATTTTATTTTGACTTATAATTCACTTAAAAATATATTTATTTATTTTATGAACTAACTCATAATGGTTATCCTTGTTAAATAATTAAATTAAACCCATATTACGTATGACCTATCTATAAATCGCTATTCCATGACAGAGGAAATTCAAGTTAGAAATAAACGATCATGACAGGGTTGTTGCAGATTCAAATCAACCATGCATTGCTGCTAAATGGATCAAATAAAGGATGCATGTGTGGAAAATTAGGTGATTTAAACAAGAAAACACGTTTTGGGGAATTTTTAAGTATGAAATTGGGAAAATCTAGCACTTTGTGCCATTGGGAATGGGTCCGATATTCGGTCCAAATTTGAGGGCAGTGACGGCCCTGCATGTCTAAGTTTTGTTTCGTCGGTGGACTTCGATTTAGTGCCGGGGTAGTGAAGTATTTCTCGCGGTCGTCCTCGTTGTCTGCGACAAAGGGCGCCGCCATCTTTGCCAATGTAGTGTATTCGACTATTCGTGTCAACAACAGTTTGTTCTTTGTAAACTCGTACATTTACAGGTTTTACCAATTAATCGATCTCAAATTTCAATCCGATTAATCGAAATCGGTTGGGTTTCAGCGATAGATTCGGCGATGTCGGCGATAATCGAAACACCACTAAGTATAACTGCACCAGTGATTCGCCTATAGTAAAAATCTTAATAGAATTAATGTGATAGTCTAATACGGTTCTTTTTTAAATTTTACTCTAGACAGTTTATATATGTTTTAAAATTCTTACAAAATAATTCATTAGTTAAATCATGCATCTGATATGTCTGATATGTACTAATATGAATGCATACTTACGACAAAAACGATCTTGTATCCGATTTAATAATTTAAATGAGCAAAATCAAAATCTAAAGTAGAGACAACCAGGGAATTAATTAACGAAAGCATGTTCTATCTTAGTTGTATTATAGTCTATTGAACCTATTTCTATATCAAATATAATTATAGGATTATGAAACATGAGTGTACATGTACACATTTAAAGAGAGATTTTCCCCGGGCACGAGCACGATTATATTGAATTTTGGGGCATCTTATAATATTAGTTTAAATATCTGTATAGTTAAATTACAAATATTTAAATACAACTAATATTTCAAAAGGAAATTGATTTAATTTGCTAATATAAAGAAAATGAAAGACTTCAAATACGCCGACATTGTTCAAGGTCCACTGTGCCCCGTACGTGTTTTGCGGGAAAACTCATGGCCTGTACTGTACCTTTGACCACAAACACAACCAGTTGATCTAATTTATAGCAAATAAGGAATCGTCTCACACTCTGTCTAGTTGTTTTGAAGTTGTAGTTTGCTTCGAGTAGTTTCCTTATTTTTAAAGTTGAGGGCCCAGACGCTTGATACTTGATAATGGTGTTTCGAACAGGCAGACACAATCTCCGTCCTCCTTTCACAGGCGCCGTAGCGAGAAATAAACCTGAATGACTTATTTGGTCATTACACGATTCAAAAATCATTGGGGGCATGGTTTGCATAATTAACCAAAGAACGGTATGGTTCGTTTCTTGCACGGAATGGTACGCTTTGTGAACGGTACGGTACGCTTTGTGGACAGCTAGGTACGCATTGTGAACGGAACAGTTCGCTTTGTGGACGGTACGGTATGCTTTGTGAACGGACCGGTTCACTTTGTGCACGGAATGGTATGCTTTGTTCACAGTACGGTTCGTTTCTGAGGTATAGTAGGACAGTTAAGGGTCTGTACTTTCTCCTTGCCTTAGTAAATCAAACACATTATTTTTCTAAAATAACTTCACACCCAGTACACCAAAGGATTTTGCTCGTGCACCAAGACAAAAACAAATGCTTGACTAAATTTAAACCTTGCTCAATGCAGGAAAAGTGTTCAAAGTCTTGGGAAAAGTGGGGAATTTTTTTATTTAATAATAAAAATTAGATATATTCACTTTGTGGATAAAACCACAAAATGAGGTGTAAATGCGGTTTATCTCCACCTCCTCACAAATTCTCCATTGTAGTCGGTGCACTCCATCTAGTATTACATAATGGAATCCCAAAATGCAATGCATATTGGCAGGAATCACAAAATTTCCAAGAAATCAATGTCCAAGTAGGATATACAAATAACTAATTTAAGTTTTTTTTTTTTTAATTTGTGTGTGTAAAATAACTTATTTAAATTATTTTTTTTATAACTTGTTTGAGTTATGCCCCTGACTACAAGTGGGCAAACACATGAACAGAAAGATGGATATGATGATTCCTATGCACATGTATACACCCATGCTTATAAACAAACAATATAGTGAATATACACTAGAACCACACTTAAATTCAATATGTGCAACCTCTGTGAAGAAATTGAAGCAAAACTAAAGGTGGACCACCAAACCGACTGACAGAAAGCAGCAAAGCAATATGCCCTCCCTTCTTTGAAAGGGATGCGAGCATAATTATATGTGTACTTCTAACTGAATTAAAAACAAAATTACCCTTTGTCAGAATATAGATTAGCAGGAAGGCTGTTTTTCCTCATTTTTCCATGTTAGATTCTGACTGTTCTTCAAAAGATTCTGGCATATACCCCTGAAAGAGTAAACAGTGAAGATAATAAAGAGCACCTAAATCGACATGATCAACTGCATATTTTTTTAAAAGATCAACTTAAAAGGGATAGAAAACAGAGAAAATTTGTTTAAATGACCAGGACTACATGTAGAGAGATTAATCCCTACCTCAAAAACAGGCTGCCATGGGCAGTCAGTAATTTCCAACTCTGATATGAGATGCTAAACATACTAATTGTCCAAAATTTACAATTTAATGTTTAATGCATATATATTGTAGATTGGCAAATATTCACGATGGTTTTAATTTCACTATGTTCGTGAATTCTATCATTTTTCCGCGAAATTAAACCCATCGTGAATGTTATCTTTAGTTGTTAAAAGCGTTTAAATGCTTATACGAAATTTGAATTAATATCTTAAAGTGTGAAATTAAAACCATCGGAATTGGTACTATTTGAGATATCATGAAATTTTAACATCGCGGAATTAAAACGATTTACAGTAATATGTAGACATTCTTAAATTTCATGATTTGTACATGTAGATTGAGACAGATGATAAATACATTTCTAATTCTATATTTTGTCTGTTGTATGCTTGAATTGAAAGAACATTGACAACAAGCATCATTCAGAGTAAATTTGGATTTTCACATATTATACATAATTAAATTTGCATAATATACATTATGCATAAGGGAGACCAAATATATTATTACTGCATTAAGGAGACCAACTACTATCCACATGCAAATCAACATTCAAAACTTCAGATATATTTCAATACCCTAGTTTATTACATGCTTTATTACAGTAACTAAATCTAAGAGGGACATTAAACAACAAAGAAACAAACAAAAATACATGCCAGTCTTTAAATTTATATGATACAAGTATATTGTATGCATAAGGGAGACCAAATGTATTATTACTGAATTTACGAGACCAACTTAAATTCACATGTAAATCAGTATTCAAAACTTGAGATTTTTATATTCATATGAAGCAGAATTTATGCAAAATCTTATGCGTGAAAAGAAGAAAACACTTGCTGTGGCCTTCAACTTGACCTTCAGATATATCGACAACATGTCAATTAACAATGGTAATTTCTATGTCGATACGATATATTCAGGAGAGCTTGAGATAAAAGAAACCACAGACTCTGACACATCTGTTTCTTACTTGGATATTTTACTTGAAAAAGACAATAATCACTGTTAATGATAACCTAACAACCTAGTTATATGATAAACATGACGACTTTAACTTTTGTATCATCAGCAATATACCTTCATCACCTGCATATGGAGTGTATATATCTCAGTTGATTCGATACGCAAAAGCATGCTCTACATACGAACAATTTCTAAAACGAGGTAAATTATTGACAAGCAAGTTCAAGTTGATGAAACAAGAATATCAGCAGTCTTGTTTAAAGTCATTATTTTGTAAGTTCTATAGTTGATACAATGACCTTGTCTGCAAATACAATTTATCATTGAGTCAAATGCTGACTGACATTTTTCATACCAATTGTTCGTCCATTATTTATAACCTGAATTGACGACAAATTTTCCGTTATTTCACTATCATGACAATGAGCAAACATCTGGTGTGACCAGTCAGCAGGGAATGCTCACTTCTCCATGGCACCTGATCCCATCTCTGATGTTTTGGAGGTCCGTGTTTGCTCTGCTCTTATTTTGTGTTGTTTATGGACTTCGATATTGAATACTGTTCGTTATCTCCATATCCTTCTTTTTATACTCTAGTAAGTTATATGTTTTGTTAAATAAACAAAAATAAGAGGGACATTAAACAACAAACAAAAACACAAACAAAAATACATGTTGATCTTTAAATTTATATAATATACTGTATGCATAAGGGAGACCAAATGTATTATAACTGCATTTAGGAGACCAACTACTTTCTACATGTAAATCAGTATTCAAAACTTGAGATTTTAATACACTAGTAAGTTATATGTTTTGTTAAATAAACTAAATATAAAAGGGAAATTACACAACAAACAAAAATACATGTTGATCTTTAAATTTATATAATATACTGTATGCATAAGGGAGACCAAATGTATTATAACTGCATTTAGGAGACCAACTACTTTCTACATGTAAATCAGTATTCAAAACTTGAGATTTTAATACACTAGTAAGTTATATGTTTTGTTAAATAAACTAAATATAAAAGGGAAATTACACAACAAACAAAAATACATGTTGATCTTTAAATTTATATAATATACTGTATGCATAAGGGAGACCAAATGTATTATAACTGCATTTAGGAGACTTTTCTAAATTTATATTGAATTTTATACACTAGTATGTATGCATTATATGTTTTGTTAAATAAACTAAATATAAAAGGGAAATTAAACAACAAATACATGTTTTCTTTAAATTTATATAATATACTGTATGCATAAGGGAGACCAAATTATTATAACTGCATTTAGAGACCAACTACTTTCTACATGTAAATCAGTATTTAAAACTTGAGATTTTATAATATAACCTAGTAATAAAGTTACATATTTTCCAAAATGTTTATCCCAATACAATAGTAATTTACTTTAAATTGTTTGTATTTAGATGACCTAAATCGATTTATCTCAGCCAGAATTAAAACAAGCTAATCTCACATGTGGGCAAACACATGAACAGAGAGATGGGCATGATGATTCCTATGCACATGTATACACCCATGCTTATAAACAAACAATATACATTAGTATCAAATTTGAATTCAATATGTGCAACCTCTGTGAAGAAATTGAAGCAAAACTAGTGGTGGGCCACCAAACCGACAGACAGACAGCAGCAAAACAATATGCCCTCCCTTCTTTGAAGGGGGTGCGAGCATAAATTAATTTTATGTGTACTTCTAATTGAATTAAAAACAAAATTACCCTTTGTCAAAATATAGATTTGTAAGCTGGAAGGCTGTTCTTCCTCATTTTTCCATGTTAGATTCAGACTGTTCTTCAAAAGATTCTGGCATACACCCCTGTAAGAGTAAACAGTGAAGATAATAAAGAGCTCCTAAATCAACTGCATATTTTTTTTTAAAAAATCAACTTAAAAGGGATAACAAATGCATTAAACTGCATAAAGAAAACCAACTGATATTCGTATATACGAGGGTTGTTAGAAAAGTTCGTGGACAAGTTCTACTGTGAGTGCGCTATTTAAATCAAACTGGTCAAACTTTCTAGATAAAAACTTTACCTATTTTGCAATAAATATACAAAGATTTGGTGTTTTCAGGTGATCCTTAAAAAATATACTGTACAGCTATTTTATTTTGAGAAAACATGCTTCACGGAGCATGCTTCTTTTTCCATGTTTACATTTTAAAGACCTTTTATTGATATTAAAAATTGCACAGCTGTAGCGCACAAAGATTTATGATATTTTACCTTTCCCTACAGAATTCATGAAACATCACTTGGTCAAATTTTGAATTAAATTGGAGCGTATATTACCGTTTTATAACAATTTATAAATACATGTATTAACGTATAAAAACAAAGCCAAAAATGGAACGTCATGGAGCACATATTTATAATTGATACTGTCTTACATTGAATTCAAGTAATTTTAATATAAATTCAATTTATTTTTCGCCAGTCTGGCATCTTTGCGTGAATAATGCAAACAAAAAAGCATTAACTATAAGATATCCTGCACGTCACATTCATACATAGCACAGCTTACGCAATGCATATTTTGTTTACTACAAAACTCCTCGGGCATTTAGGTTCGGCAGTGAAAAGAGGAAACCCATTCGAACTACATGTATAAGCCAAGATTTCAGGGCAATGATTTCATTGGCTAATCAAAAGGTGGCTCTGACATGACCCCGAATGGGATGTTGTTAGATGTTTGAGAAGCTGTAGAGGATTCGGAACATCAAATTTTAATTAGATTGCATGTAAATATGGATAAGAATTTCTTAAAGCATTCACATGATGCATAGGATATAAAACTATTCTTTTTTTGAGTCAGAAAGTAACAACATATTGAAAATAATGAACCTATTTCCATACAGTACATGTAATTTATTCAACATGTAAGATAAATGTACTAAATATTTTAAACAAGGTTTTCCTGTTTAATTTGAATTTGAAGTGTACTTTTTAAAGACAGTAAGACAAAAACAAATTAATATGAGTTGCAAAACAATTATTCTTATTTTTTTTTGTAAAATTCATGCATAATGATTTATATGTCTTTTTTGACAGACTTGTTTAAGAATCCAATTATAGTGCATATCACATTATAAAATGTTGTTTTTTGCTCAATACACAGCCCTAATAAAAATGATATACGAAAAAAAAAGTACAAGGAATGATTCTGACTGGGTTTAACATTCATTCGATTGATCATACAATTGCACTTTCATTTTCAAAATGTTGTTAGGTTACTGGTATGACTATGTTTCTTTTGCACTGATGTTACAATTTATTAAAAGAGTATACATTGTATTAGCAAAAGTAATTATCATTTACCTTTCTTGGAATAAAGACATGTTGACCCTTGAGATAAGATTTCCTCTCTGTCCATAAAAGTGTTACACTGGAGTCCAACAAATTCTAGCACAGACCCTGTAAAAAAAGACATTAGGTATTATGGATGTAAAAAAATGTTGTAATTAAAATCCATATATTTCAAACATGTCTGTAATGACCGACATGATGCAAATTCAAAGCAAAATAATTACATATATTATATAAGAAGATAATTTTTGTAATTTTCATTGGCTGAAAGGATGTCACGTGATATTCCTCCTTTTGTGACATCGACGCGAAAGTGCGTCGGCAGAAAATGATGTGGAACAACACAGCGTTTGGTGCACTGAAGTTACGTAGAATATAAGATGCGTGTTTTTAACAATTGTGATGTAATGACAGCGAAGTCTGTTTAGTTAGGACTGTGTCATTGCATTAACTTTGTGTGATTATATATTATTATACTTTCATGTTCAATACTAAAATCTGATTGGTTTAGACGCAGTTAACAATCCGTTCTATTACCCTCAGCCTTAGCAACACACGTGGCAACGGGTAACACAACGGTAATGCCACATGCGTGGAAATTATGCGCGTACGGTTCACCGTAGAATTCTCAAAACGTCAGTTGCGCGTTTGAAAGAACCGGAATAAACTTGACGTCAATAAAAGCTTGCGTCCAATGTAGCTTACTTGAAAACAACAAACGACAGACGAAACATGCTTGCGAGTGCAGAAATAACGAAACTTTAGATAGTAAAGGACTCGTAGAGTAGCAAATAAACAATAAAGAGGTCAGTAAATCTTTTTCGAATTAGCGGGCAGTTTGAAAGCTTTCTAAACGTGAACGAAAAAGGCTATCGACGATTTGTACTGCTGACATAGTAAATCAAGAGGACATTCAGTATAATAAAATAAATGGTGCCTGTTTTGGAGGGTAACAGTTGAAATTGACACCCCTCGCTGATGCGTCGGTTGACAATGGTTTTCCTTGGGGTGTCAATTTCAACTGTTACCCTCCAAAACAGGCACCATTTATATAATATATAACTATTATGGACTTCAGTGAATGCTCAAATTATGTCATTATAAGGACTCATGGCAATTGATATTGACCTCAGACAAAGGAAATGATAGTGACTTCACAAGCTCAGTCGCTATCACTTTCTGAGTCTTCGGTCAATATCAATTGCCATGAGTCCATATAACCATAAATTATATAAATTTGTGAAGTCCGGTAATCTGATTGGTCAATACGAAGTCATTATATTTCTTAAACAATCTCTGAAAGCCAATAATGACTTTCATGTGCTGCCTCGTTTTCACTTTCAATTTAAGACTAACCTCTGTGCGAAGAGAAAATTTGAACGACTGCACATTCATTCGATAGAATTTTTTGACGCTGTAACTTGGATCCACAATGCATCACTTCTTAAAGCTATGTTCTTGCAAGAATAGCAGCAAAAGTTCAACTAAAAGTAAACATGCCCTGATTTAATGGATAAACATTGAAGATAAATATAGTAAACAAAACGTTCTTCATTTACTTTCAGCACTGTTCAGGCTAATCCGAGATTCCTCTGACTCTAACCCCCGCTTTTATATTGTGACTTGTGCGGGGGAGAATCAGAGCGGACTCCATATTGAAAACTGGGAATCTGGCGAAACCACCTGGTATCGCTACTCTGCCTACCTTTTACAACTTTATTTCGCGGAGCTAACTCCCGAGACGCGAGAAATCTGTAAAACAATTATTCACCTACTTGTTAATCATCATAAATATTATGCCTTCGCCGTTTAAACGACCCTATCACCGAAAAATGAAGCATCACTTGAATTTGGTCGCCTCCTCGACATTCGACTTCTTTGCGCATGACGTCACACACAAATACACAAACAAACTATCACGTGAAAATATCATGTTTGGTGTTTTAAACCTCATATTAGGATAAATTTTTTAAAGTCGTTTTTGACAGTTGCTTTCCTTATCAATCAATAAATAAAACATCATTATGTTATTTTATATGTATTTTCACAACACTTTCATATTTTTCCGAAAGCCCCACACGTGGTTTGAGCATGTGTTACTTTCAAACTGACTGGAATTTTGTGTATTTGTGTGCTGACGTCATGCGCAAAGCAGTCGAATGGCGATGAGGTGACCTAGTTCAAGTGATGCTTCATTTGTCGGTGATAGGGCTGTTTAAACGGTGGAAGCATCCTTTCAATGACAATTAACAAGTAGGAAAATAATTATTTTACTGATTTCTCCCGTCTCGGGAGTTAGCTCCGCGAAATGAAGTTGTAAAAGGTAGGCAGAGCAGCGATACCAGGTTTTCGCCAGATTCAATATGGAGTTTATGACTCTCCCCCGCACAAGTCACAATATAAAAGCGGGGGTTAGAGTCAGAGGAATCTCGGATTATGTTCAGGCTTCTTTTTGGAAATGTATTACTCACATTTATAAGACGTAATGTGACATCAGAGTCTAGACGCACTAAATGTCACGTGCAGTTTGATGAGCCTGATCTAAATTATAACAAAATAAATATCTAAGCTCGCCATAACGGTTGTATCATCTAGGGGTGAAACGATACGCCTCCTTCACGGTTCGATACGTATCGAAAAATTTGGTCTCGGTTCGGTTATTTTCGATACGATACAATTTGATAGAAGGAAAGAGATTCAATGTTGTTTTATGCTACCTTTTACTTCATCTAGTAAAATAATTTATGTGCAAAATGGATAGAATGTATCAATTTAATTGATTTGACTGTATAAAATTATTTTATAAACTTCAAGTCCACACAAACTTACGTTTCTGAACTAATTATACAGAAAAGCATGTTTATACCATATGTCAAACCGGACTGAATGACGATCCCGACCGAAAAACGAACTGAACCGAAAGTAGAGATTTTGTACCGTGTATCGAACCGAGAAAAAATACCGCGGTGAACCGATACCGCGGTGAACCGTTTCACTCCTAGTATCATCAACATATTAAATTTAATTTTTCTACAATTATTAATTAATTATGCCGAACAAATTATCATTTTCCTTCACTAATTTTCAGGTGTTCCATTTGTTTACATTTGGTTTTTTTCGGTCAGACAAAATTTGATTAAGTCCTGTTTGTTGATTAATTACACAGGACCGAATGCCCTGTGTGGTAAAAAAAAAACATTTGCATAGAGACTAATAGACTGTATTGATGTATGAATCATGCAGACTTCAAGTAGGCATATTTTTCATGAAGCTTTAGCGCTTCATGATATATGTCTAGGACCACTGTATGTAAGTTGTGGGTGAGCAAATCTATAAACATTTAACTTAGCATCTACAGTAGCTACTGATAGTCCGAAATTTCTCTTCACCTAAATATAAAGAGATCGAAGAGATCGCTATAAATCTATATAACACTTTCAGTAAAGTTACACACAGTAAACTAACATAAAAACAAGATTACGTGAATCATGTTTAGAGGGTCAGTAGCTAAATGTAAACAGGGAACGTTACATGTAAACACGCGGGCTGGTGACACTGACAGTCATGTCACCGAAAATACATGTGCCATTTTAACCGACTTAGGCCTATGAAATTTAAAATGTAGGCCCCTAAATATCCATCTGCACACAGAGTTTTCCATAAAGATAATTTAAAAAGTGTAAATACAAAATAAACAAACCTCAATACTGTTTTGAGCCTCCTCGTTGTCGTTCTTCTCTGAAATATTCTGGTTCTCTGAGTCTGTCACTGAAAATGCAGAGAACCAGGCTAGTTTATTAACTCGTGCACATATTTGTTGACTTAATTTTAAAAGGAAAAATACGAAATAAACTTATTAAAATATAAACGAAATTAAATAATATAAAAAAATTAATATTTCAGTTAAAAGTGGGGTTAAAACAACCAAACATTTTTCAGTTTCATTTGTTTGGGGATACGGGGGTGGGTTAAATCTCAAACGATTGTTTTATTTCTGTCACCGAATATTGCTGAAAATAATGCAGGGAACTACAGGTTATAGACTGCGACAATGAATTGTTGATTAATAGAAATACAAAATAAATAATGTTATGAAAAAAATGAATTTCCAACACCTTGAAATATAAACTTTAAAGTTTACATGTACAGTGTAGGGGTAAGGTAATTGAAAAAAAGGGGGGGGGGGTAGTACGTACAACCAAAACACCCTATCAGATTCAGGTTGGGCGAGGCTACCAACAAAAAATTGGTGATAAGCAAATGAAAAAAGATCATAAGGCAAAAGAAAGAAATGATCATAAGACTAAGAGGTAAACGTTATTTCTGAGGGGACCCAAGCATATAGCTTGAATAGGTGCTTCAGCTTGCGAAACTACTTTTTTCTATATTCGGCTTTGTCTTTAAATTTTGTTTGTGGACTTGTATATACTACTTTATTTCGAATTTCCTTCAGGTTCAAATACGTACTTATAATCTTTCCTTCTTCAAAGTAAAATTACTACATCCCCCCTCTCTCTCCCCCCCCCCCCCCCAAAAAAAGTCAATGCTTGCCTTGTGTATTAAAAAAAAATATATTACTATATTATTTAAGTTACTTACCGCAATACAACTCTTTCTCAACAATTATGGTGTTGAAAGGTCATTTTCTGAAAACTGAAGAGGCATTCCGATGGTATTCGGAACAAATGACGGAAAGCACTTGCTAAGAACATAGACCTAAAACAAAGGGACCGCCGACTCCGATGACGTCACAATAGATATCACTATACGATCTCCCTCCGATCGCAGCGCCCTCACCGGGATGCATAGAAAACATCCGGTATTACAAAGATAACGTTATTTACATCTACGTTGTTGAGATATTATAGCATTGAATGAATTAAACTTTTGCCGAATGTACCAATTTTTTAAAGCTAATACACTAAAGAGTTCCTTGAGCAGTTTTTGAGGTATTTATCTTCTTTTTGAATGTGTAAAAAAAGCTAAAACATGACTGATGTTCTGACATCATGATCACAGAGAAGTTGTCAAACTACATGCGAGGTTGCTCTATAGACTATAGATGCTGTTCGATGAAAAAAAAACGTTCATATTTAATTAAGAAACAAATAGGCCTATTTATTGCGTGGAATTTTTAAAGAGCAAAGGTCTTATGATTTATGATAACGCCGATGGTTCGCAACAGGTCCAGGGCTGACGTACGTAGCACCCTATTATTAAGGTACAGTAACACGAGTAATAAGGAGATAGAAATTAATAACCAACAGGAGTATTCCTTGACAAACCCATAGGCGCCCCCCCCCCTTTTTATTTTCAAAGATATACATAATGTAGACATTGATCATTGGGGCATGGGTTTAGCTCCCCCCCCCTTTCAACAGGCACGTTATAGTTTAATTTTAAAAAAATGGATAATTGGTAGTGTTCGGATAAAAATTTGGTACTAAAAGAAGTTCGATCCTACCGCCCCCCCCCCCCTTCCCCCTTAAAAATAGGATTTTCGAGTTTGTACAAAAAGGACACTTTTTTTTTGGCTTGTCAAACTTTTTATTGGTTTGAATTTTAGTATAGAGCTAAAAGGTAGTTCAATATTTATGCTCACAAATTTGATATACATCTTTAAAAAAAAAAAAGAAAGAAAGAAAAGTTGTATCCCATTTTTAGTATGATTCTTTAAATAAAAAAGAATACTTTTCCTTTACTACATAACAAGGTATAGGGGGTATATGGAGTATAATTTCATGAAAAGAAAAAAATGATAAGATTTACAAGTGTATGTGTGTTTTGAGCTACATTAATTGTAACTGCAGAAGTTAAAAGATCAAACGGTTTAATCATAGTGGCAATTGAACTTATATATAAATATAAAAAATAATAACTTAGTAGTGTTTGTTCTTCAAAGCTGTTGAGAAGACTGAGAATTATAATGCTCACATTGCTCAGCAATTATTATTTTGTACTTAGCAGTTGTGATTAATTGCACTGGAAATAATTATTTTAAAAGACATTAAATATGCCATATATCTAAAGCAGTGCTCACAAAATATAAGCTCACTATAGAAAAAGATGACTTGTTAAACTGTAAAATCACCTTCACAAATTTAAAGAAGTAACTCTCATATACAATTCTAAACCATGCATAATTAATGACAATTAGCAGTGTTTTAAGTTGAATGACATTTTTAATCAATAAAAAAGTGGAAAAGTCTAATATATAACAATGATTTTAATAATATTTCATTCCAGTCATAATAAATTACATGTATTTAATATTTATATTGATGCAGTTTGTATATGAGTTATGATATACAAAAGTTAATAATAATCCCATTCTGGATATACAGTATAGTTGAAAAAATTGGACTTCCAAACAATCCAGTCATGTTCAACTCCTCCTTGCATAGACACACCACTTTTGTTGTTTTGTTCCCTTTGAATTGTTCTGTCACATTTAACTTGTCACACCAGATGGTACATGGAATGGTACATGTTCTCGAACATTTTCCATAGGGTTTGGTGCCACTGTGCAAGGCAGACATCATCTACAAACCTTGTGGGGGAAAAATAAAAATCTGTTATGAATTCTATTGATCATTGACAATCTTAGATTAACACTGATTAAATAATAAAACCTAAAAGAGTAATTACTAACTTTTTAAAAATACATATGTAGTTCATTATAACCATAGGCGCTTGTTTTTCTAGGTGTGTCAAAGTACCCTCATTAAAATAAAAATTCGCTGAAATAAGCACGTTTTAAAAATGTCATATTTACTGTATATAAAAATCCTTTTTTAAGGGTACTCAGACACACCTAGAAAAACGCATAATACACAAAATACACCATCCTGAAACCAAGCGCCTGTGATTATAACGGGAACATATCAATTTATTACCGGTAAGTTGTTGATCTAAATCTGTAAACGGCAGTTCACGATGTATTTATTTATATCAATTCAGCATAGATCTGAAATTGGTCTTTGTTTAAAAATTGGAAGATAATAAATTATTTTTGTAAAATAAATAAGAAGATAATCATGTACTACCGTAAAATATAATCGACAGCATTCAAGAGATGTCACGTCATGGTCAGCTGATGTCTGCATTTAAAACGTTTCCATCGACTCCACAGCGTAAAGTTATAACTTCCGAAGTAGTAAATCGAGATCATTTCGTGGAAGGAAGATTAGATAAGTGATTGATTTCTCTAATTTGTTGATATTTCCTTAAAGAATGCAAAAAATCATGCTGCGACAACAGTAATTTCATTACAGGAAGTTTGTTTCTATGCATCCCGGTGAGGGCGCTGCAATCGCAAGAAGATAGTGATTGTGACGTCATAAGTCGGCAGTCCCTTCGATTTAGGTCTATGCTAAGAATTCAGAACTTGATGCATAAATTTAGAATATTTTTCCTCTTTAGTTTTTTAACATAAAAAATGGAAAAATAAGTCGAAGAAACATTCATTTAAAATAATTTAACGCGGAAAAAATTATATATGCAAGATTTTTTGTTAAATTGCACGTTTTCCGTGGTCTCCACAATGCTGAAAAAATATCCTTTGAAATTATACACAGGTAATACATTCTTTTCTTTTTCAGGTAATATGATAGAAATTTGACAATTTTTAAATGTTAAATCGCAGACAAAAACATCACTTTTATCTAATGGAAGGCTGTTTATTTACCAAAAACACGACATTTGCAATACTCATGAGGTCAAAATATTAGGGAGACCAAAAAAGGTCGCCTTAATCCAGCGGTCTCCCTAAGCCAGATAATATATCTTCCGTGGTCTCCCTAAGCAATATTTCATATATATATATATATATATATATATATATATATATCTTATGTCTTGGCTTTTTGTTCTAAAGCTTGTTTTATTCAATTTGAGAAACAAGTTGTACTCTAAAATGTAATAGTTGAATACCCAACCATTACATGGTTAACCTTCTGTCCAGGTTTATGTCTATCGAGGTTTTCACCATGACTTTTACAGATAATGCGAATGTAAACTGTATGAAATTTGAAAAAATAGATTGTAAGAAATTTGAAAAAACCAATAGCTTTTTCTGATCAAAAATCATTTTTTTCAAAATAAATGTGAATGATTGAAAAGATCTTATTCGATTATTTATATTAAACTGAATGTCTTTCTGTCCATGTTTAACGTCTATCGAGGTTTTCACCATGACTTTTACAGGTAATGACAATGTAAACCGAATGAAATTTGAACAAACCAATAGCCTTTATCGAACAACAATCATTTTTTAAAAAAATTCAGAACTTGATGCATAAATTTAGAATATTTTTCCTCTTTAGTTTTTTAACATAAAAAATGGAAAAATAAGTCGAAGAAACACTCACTTAAAATAATTTAACGCGGAAAAAATTATATATGCAAGATTTTTTGTTAAATTGCACGTTTTCCGTGGTCTGCACAATGCTGAAAAAATATCCTTTGAAATTATACACAGGTAATACATTCTTTTCTTTTTCAGGTAATATGATAGAAATTTGACAATTTTTAAATGTTAAATCGCAGACAAAAACATCACTTTTATCTAATGGAAGGCTGTTTATTTACCAAAAACACGACATTTGCAATACTCATGAGGTCAAAATATTAGGGAGACCAAAAAAGGTCGCCTTAATCCAGCGGTCTCCCTAAGCCAGATAATATATCTTCCGTGGTCTCCCTAAGCAATATTTCATATATATATATATATATATATATATATATATATATATCTTATGTCTTGGCTTTTTGTTCTAAAGCTTGTTTTATTCAATTTGAGAAACAAGTTGTACTCTAAAATGTAATAGTTGAATACCCAACCATTACATGGTTAACCTTCTGTCCAGGTTTATGTCTATCGAGGTTTTCACCATGACTTTTACAGATAATGCGAATGTAAACTGTATGAAATTTGAAAAAATAGATTGTAAGAAATTTGAAAAAACCAATAGCTTTTTCTGATCAAAAATCATTTTTTTCAAAATAAATGTGAATGATTGAAAAGATCTTATTCGATTATTTATATTAAACTGAATGTCTTTCTGTCCATGTTTAACGTCTATCGAGGTTTTCACCATGACTTTTACAGGTAATGACAATGTAAACCGAATGAAATTTGAACAAACCAATAGCCTTTATCGAACAACAATCATTTTTTAAAAAAATTTGAATGATTGAAAAGGTCTTATTCGATTATTTATTAAACTGAATGACATTCTATTCGAAATATTTATCGATAGTTTCACTCCTCCATGGCACCTGATTCCACCTCTGATGTTTTGAAGGTTCCTATTAGCCCCGCTCCTATTTTATATTTTTTAATGGACTTAAGAGCTCAAACACTGTTCATTATCTCCACATATATCATTTTTTTTTAACAAATAAAGTTAAGCAGTTATACATCCTCTATGTTTCGCACTTGCATATGAAAGAAAGCATTATATTTTTGAACATGATGAACATAGGATATGATGAACATAACGACTTCAACAGGCGATGCTTTTTCCTACAAAGCGCCTTATGCCACCTTCGGATTTTGCTTGGATCCAAGTTTTTGCCCTATCTGTTCATAGATTTGTAGTTTCATGAGATCAGTATCTTTACCGTTTTTTTTTTTTTTTTTTTTTTTTTTTACAAACTCTAGCTATTCAAAACAAAAATATAGA